TTCTACTTCCCAGCCCTATCACATATATATAATTTGTTGTTCAATATAGTAATTTCTGTTTCTTTCTACTTAACTCTACCAAATCCTGGGGGTTTTAAACTTCTATTTCCACCTTAATTATTAACTACAGCATTGTTCTTTTTTTACTTATTTTCTATTTATTGTTTGGTTATTTTCTGACTCTAAGCTGTATCACACTGCATTTTCTCAATTAGTCTTTATCCCAAACAGTATTAACTAAATACTTTCATTGGTAATGTTTTTCTTATATTTTTGTACATGGTGCTTCTAACACATAAACACCCAACAATAAATGCAATATATTTTTCCAATTTTTTTTCTTTCTTCTGCTCGAGATTCGTCTTCTTTCTCATTTCTCAACTGGTCAACTTTCTGTTATATGCTCTAGTATCCTAACATTGTAGTCATATAATGATTCATTCAATTACTGAATTAATAAATCACACTGAATGAAATCACATAAGTGGCACTGAAGATACAGTGGTGGAAATAACTGGTCTCTGGATGAAGGAATTAGTAAAGAAACAAACATTAAATACAGACATATGTCAACAAACAAAAAGTGCCACAATGAAAATGTATTAAGAAAGGAAGATAATATCTGTTTTAAAAAAGATATTTAGGCTGAAACTGAAAGATGAAGGAACAGCTTAAAGGAAAGGGCAGGTAGGTATATTTGGGGAGAAGAATTTTGGAGGAAGAGAAATACAATTTCCTGAGGCCAAAAACCAATTTAGATTCTAAAGTAAAAAGGCTTTTGAAGACCCTAAAGGAGGCAATAAATAGATGGTTAGAATAAGGAGAGCCAGAGAAGACTGGACATATTTAAAGTGGGAGCAATGTCCAGGTGGTAGGTATTGCATGAAAAACATTTAGGATGCTTTATCATTTATGAATTTTTCAAATAGGAAATCACTAGCATGCTTGAATTTGAGTAGTACTATTAGTGACATAAAAAATAATCAGAAAGTTTGGTAATTTTTCAAAAGTGAGGGTGAAAAACAAAAATAAAAATGAAAGCAGTTCTTTATGCATTTGAATTTTAAGAACATACCTGTCTACATATCTCCTGGCTTCCACATTATCTAGTGCTGTAATAATGATATCTTGCTTAGTATAAAATTCATCACTGTATATACTCTCAGTGGCTGGACAAACTTTGTTCAGGTGTGCATCTATTTTTAATTGAGGATTTATTTTCAGAGTTGCTTCAGCAGCAGTATAGCTTTTAGGTTTCTAAACAATTAACAAATAAAAACAGAAGGAATAAATGTTAAACAGAAAAGATGAACTATAACTGAATTCACAAATATTACTCATTTGGAATATATATGAGGTGATAGCAAGATAATGAAACTAGCTCAAATAATTTACATATTAACAATCTAGACAACCTTAATTGTGTAGCAAAGTGCTTTAGAGTTATTAAAACATTAAAAAATAGTATTTATGCCTTAAAAATAATTTTTTTATAAAAGGTTTAGTTATCAGAATCATTGTGTCATTTTCAGGTGCTATGAAGGCCCATTTTGAATACTGGCTCTAAATCTACATTCCTTTAGAGCAGAACATCCTTTGGATTTGTGCATCTGAGTTAATGGTCTTTCTGTCTCTTCTGGCTCTATGAGGCTAACATGTTTTACTCTTACTAGGGAATTAATAAATAGATCTTCATTGTCCATGTAGAGATAACATACAAAGTGAACTGTTTTAATAGGACATATTAATAATTCAAAAGAGGCTCCATTACCATCGCCTTTGTATTTATATAAGAGGATATTGGGTTAACTATGAAACCTACTGTAGTCAATTCTTGTTTATAACATAACTAAGCTTCATTTCCTTAAGACTGATAATGAGTTGACAATACAAGGGAAAATTTTAAACCTAAAGCACATTTGTGTTATGATTAACACATTTTACTCCTTTTTGCACTGTTTTTTGATATGGGGTTTCACCATGTAGCTCTCACTAGCCTATTGCTCACTGTGATGCTCACTGTGATGACAAGCCTGGCTTTGCACTCAAGAGCTCTACGTGCCTCTGACTTGAGTACACTGATTAAAGGAATGAGCTACCATGCACTGCCTGTTTCTTTTCCTTATTTTAACGTTTTAATCTCTGAGAAAACTAAGAAGTCTTTTACAATAAAAGAGGATGTTAAATAAAAATAGTACAGCAATTTTAAATACTAAACCCTACCTGTTTTATAACACAAAGAAAAATCTGTGCTTTGTTAAAACCTCAAATTAGAGGACTTGCTTATGGTGATTACAAAATGAAAAGTACTCTCACGTTTTGCAACTCAAATATTAACATCCAAAATTTAATGCAAAAACCAACTTTATTATGCATGAAAGGTAATTTTTTATCTTCTCCATTTTGTTCTTTCCAAAGAACATTTTGTTCTTTCTCTTAAGAGTCTAACAAAGGACAGAATTACCCTGCAACCATTATCTATTTATGAGAAAAAAACAGTGACCCACCTGTATGTGATGGGGACGAAACAGGAATTGTCTGTTCAGATTGGATTTTTCAATCAAATCAGGATCTGTAACTGTAACCTTTTATCAAAGGAGAACAAAACAAATGAATCTGCATTTCTCACTATGACTGAAACAGTACCCTCACATTATTTTTTCTAGTAAAAGTCATTTCAAAAAAAAAAAAAAACTCTGAATGATTGCCAATATGCTATCACATATTTAATTCAATTAATGTGTAGTCAATGAGCAACTTAGTCCAACTAAGGCAGGACCTATAATCTACAAGGCAGTTTAATATTTTTTTAAATAATTTTTGTGTCTGTGGCTATTAGCATGTTTCCAGGGCAGAGCCAACTAGCTGTCTCAGGTAATTTATCTATAGGCCTAAAATACTTGCAATTTAGCCTCTTAAGAAAGCTTAGACTCTAATCCTAAAAGATGAAAGAAAACAAAAAAGGTCAAGATAATGTGCAGAATATGTTATGTGCTACTCAACTAGACTTAAGACCAGCCAGGTACAGTACTGCTCAGTATAGGTTCCAGTTTCAGGGGCTGACTAGTGTTCACACACTAATTTTCCTTTAATCATTTTCCTCATGAATGTGCCTACATTTTTTTTGTGGAATTTTTTTGGTAGAGGATATCTCCTTCAATTTAACAACTACAAATAATAGGGTTGGATACAGTATCTGCAAAAAGGCTCACTGTGTCTTTGATTCTGGACTTCTATGAGGTGAGAAGCTTTAGGGTATTCCCACCACTGTAAGCCTGCAATGACAGTCAAGAGATTGATGACTGAAACTTCTAAAACCACGACCAAAACACATCTTCCCTCATTTGAATGTTTTTCCCAGGTACTTGTCTTTTCAAGGTTCAGAATACCTCCTAATTAATCATTGTGATTAATGATGTTTTGCACTTTTGTTTCCTGAAATCCTATGTTTTATTCTTTCCACTTTGTCTTCTACCAGACTCAACAAGTTTCACATTAGATTTGTAAATTAAACATTTTTATTTGGTTCCAAATTTTGGGACACATACCTCTCTTCTAGAAATCCCAGCTACTGTGGAGGCTGAGACAGGAGAATTTTAACTACAAGGCCTACCGAAACTACAAAGTAAATTTAAGGCCAGCTTAGGTAGATCAACAAGATGCTATCTCTAAGTAAAAAAAAAAAAAGGGGGGGGGCAGGAATACAGCTTAGTTTTGGGAGATATGAACAGCATGTGCAAGGACCTAGGTTCAATTCCCCATGCAGAGAAATAACTCTAAAATTAGTTTTAATTAAGTTATCTAAACTCTCCACATTCTAACAAAACACTTTAGTAAGATTTGTAAAAATCATTTTCAATTTTAAATCAGTAATTTTTGTTTTGTTTTGTTTTTGTTTTTGGAGACAGGGTTTCTCTGTGTAGCTTTGGAGCCTATCCTGGCACTGGATCTGGAGACCAGGCTGGCCTTGAACTCACATAGATCCGCCTGCCTTTGCCTCTGCCTCCCGAATGCTGGGATTAAAGGCTTGCACCACCAACGCTGGGCCTAAATCAGTAATTCTTAAAAAATAAATCATTTCACTTACTTGAACCTATGTATGCATATTCATAAATCTCACGGCTTATCCTTCACCATGCCTATACATCTAAGATTTTTCATTTATATGTCACATACTTTACTATGCCCTCCTTGAAAGATAATTAAATACAGACATGTAGGCTGAGAGCCATTTTTTCCTTTCATTATAAAGCTAATTTCCATTACTGTCTCGCACTGCCTGTTACTTGTATGTCTCTTCTATAACCTCCTTCTATACTTTGTTAACTTCACTATCACTACATCTGGCTTTTAAGTATACTAACCATACAGAATATATTTTGGGAAAATCATCAATGTTCTGTTTTCTTGTGTTCCTACTTCTCTGTATCTTTGTTTTTAAATTTGAAGTTTTTTTTAAATGTATATTTTTCTATTCCCAGAAGTACTCCCTTTCTTATATGTCTCAGGGTGCTTCATTCCTCTGTGATGGCCGACTCCTCTATAAAGTGGTTCCTTCTCTACTGCATTATTTTTTTTCTTTAAATTATATGTATTTGAATGTGTGAGTACAAATGCACAAGCCACAGTAGGGCATAAATGTGAAGTGTGCCTGTATGTGTATGTTCATGTTGTATGGGCCAGGGTGCATATGTGAAGGCCAAAGAATAACTCGTGCGAGTCAGTTCCCTCCTTCTATTATGTGGGTCCTTGGGATGAAAATTAGGTTGTCAGGCTTCATGGCAAGTATCTTTACTTCATGAGCCATCTCATTTGGCCAGAGTTCTATTTTTTTAAAATCTGAACCATCAATGGAGAATGTTTATTCTGCAAAGTCTATGTGCATTGGATTCATATAGACAGTTAGGACTGAATTTTATAGCTGTTTAAAGAGCTTTGGAGGTTTCAATGAGTGTGAACTTCCTATAATAAATATCTCTGCTTGAAATGTTACCCAAAATAACACTGGATCCATGTATGAGTATGGAACAAGGTCTATGAGACTTAACTTTCTGGTGAGTGATTTCTTTTCTATTTAAAGTTTTAGACATCAAAGGCAGAGAGAAAAAATCATTTCATTTCTCCATTGATTCTAGGTACCTGGAGATTTCTCTTTCCATCTTGGCTGTGTCTATGAACAATTACAGATTTGTTACAGAAAGTCTGTGTTCAGAGTGACAGTGGCTGTCCACATTACATGCTTTGTTTTGCTATTTGATGTTAATGGGTTTGTTCACTACAGTTCTTGTCCAGACCTTTACCTACTAAAAGCACTGTGACCGTCCATACAGTTAAAACACTCAGGTGACCCACAAGTTTACAGTAAAGAAGGGATTTGTTTTTTTTTAAATCAAATAACTTTTAAGCCAGTAGACTTGTGGTTTATGGAGCACAGCTTAGGAAATGCTAAGCATGGATAATATAAACATATACCTACCTATAACTGTAATAACAATAAGTCCCTTTTAAAATGAGAATAAGCTAAAATATGGATTACCATATACTTTGTAGTTACTTGTATAATGCTATTGTTAGTTACTACAATAAATATGAAGTTACTAATGAAAATTTTTATTTTAAAAGGTAAAATAGCAGCGGAGCGTTGGTGGTGCAAGCCTTTAATCCCAGAACTCTGGAGGCAGAGGCAGGGGGGTCTCTGTGAGGTTGAAGCCAGCCCGGTCTCCAGAACGAGGGCCAGGATAGGCTCCAAAGCTACACAGAGAAACCCTATCTCAAAAAAACAAAAACAAAAACAAAACAAAAAAGTAAAATAACACTAAAGAAAAGTATTTTAAATGACATCATTTTGCAATGAATTCAGTAGGAAGACTTTTAACTGTATACCAAAGTATGTATTATTCCCACTGTTTGAAAACTCATCATTTAAACTACATTAGTACTTTCCAACTTTCTAATGTCATCTCTCATGTTAATATTTAGTTAACAATAGTATAAAAAATAACAACATGGTTTTCAGTTTGCAAAACTTTGACAATAAGGTTCTTTTTAATTTTAATATTGACAATTACTACAAAAGATAGTCCATTTTCAGTTTTGGAGTATTTCAGAAAGTTAAGAACTAGGAAGCAGAGAATTTGTCACTTAAAAAGTGACCAGAAAACAATGAAAATCTTCCAATTCTCAGTTTAATGAGCTACCTGAAACACAGGCTGGTATAGTCAAAGACAGTTCAAAACAGGGCAACACTAGAAATATGTACGTTTAACTCTCAAAAGCCTTGTATCTTACCATTCCTTTCTCTCTGCCTGTACCAACACCCAGTAATGCAAAATTTTTTAACATTTCACAGCCTATGGCGCCACATCCTACCTATTGAAGAAAAGAAGAGTATAAATGTCAGAAAATAAAACTATAATGTCTACTTAACAAAGAATTTTAATTCAATTTTCTTTTAAATGTTATTACAGTGAATACTATTTTTAAAAATAACCATTTGTGATTCACTTGTGAGAGATTTTACTTTTTACAGGTTTCATAACACCTTATAAGTGTCTTAATTAAAGAAAAAAAAAAGCACAAAACAAGGAAAATATACTACTTATAATTTCTTTAAACAAAAAACATTTGAAGATTCTGAGCAAAAGCTGAACACAGAACTCATTTAACAAGGAAAATATACTACTTATAATTTCTTTAAACAAAAAACATTTGAAAATTCTGAGCAAAAGCTGAACACAGAACTCATTTTTTTTTTTCAGAACTCATTTTTATAGAGAACAGAAAACAATGACAGAAAAACAAAAAAAAACCACTCAGGCCCAGAACTAGGTAATATGAAAAAAATCTCTTGGACATTTTTCAGCTTATCTGAAAGGTGAGGTAAGTAGAATTTTAAGTAAACCAGATATTTGAAACTTAATTATAAAAGTTTCCATCTATATGCAAAATATCAGTAGCAATTGTTACTTTTTAAAATATTACTTTACAAAAATGATTATTAAAACCAAGTATTATTTTTTAAGACTGGCCAAGAATGTTTTCTGCTCTTGAGAAAAATTTCTCTCAAAATATACTAAGACATTTAAAAAAAGAGAATACATTTACTCATTTCTTAATTTAGTAAGAAAAAAACCCACATTTTAATAGTACTTAATAGGAAATCATTTAATGTTGAAAGCTATAATATTCATGTTTTATTTTGAAATGCACAAATTCTTCAGATCAGAATTGGCTAACTTTTTATGTAAAGGGCCAGACGGTAAATATTTCAAGCTCTGGAGATTATGAGTTGTCAATCACTCATTTAGATCCAGTTGACTTTAAACAATTAACTTGACAGTCAACAGCAGTTTGAGCATACTACATATTCCCATCCTTATTCATACTTACTAGGAAGACATTCAGATTGTGTAGCTTCTGACACAATGCATCCCCAATGCAGGCTCGTAAGGCATCATATCGATCTCCTCTAAAGAAACATTTTCCAAGGAAACAGAAAGATATAAGAAATGCATTTCATTATTGTTAGTAACAATTTAGTATTGTGTTTTAAAGTAGAATATACTGTAAGAGTTTTCTCCATCCCTCCTTACCCCTAAACAAAGAACTAGGTTACTAATGACTGCTAAGAGGGAGAGTCAGCTTCCAGAGAGGAGTCCCCCATTGGTTATCTAATACAAAACAGACAGCCCTGAATTCAAACACACAGAAGCCACACTAATTGGACTTAGAAAGAAGACTGTGTCTATATATTTAAGCATATATGTAAAGACAATTATAAAGAAAGAGGCCATCAATTTGACAGGGAAGGATTGGATAGAAGACAAGGAAGGGGGAATCGATGTAATTATATTTTAATTAAACATTTTTAATATAAAAAAGTTTTCGTCCATTCATGAGAAGAGCTACCTTCTTTGAAAGAGAAAAAAGACCCTACCAATATCCAAATGACTTAAGCGAAGATGACTTTAGTTTACAATAGTCAGTGGATCCAATATAAGATTATCAGTGGATGCCTGAAACTTTGGCTTATACTGATCCCTAAATACACCAAATTTTATAATGTAAGTATGTGCATAAACTTATGACACCAGACACTGGGGTAAGGAAAATTAACAAATTTCTTTCCCTTTCTTTAAAATTTACTGATTTATTTATTTTTGGTTTTACAAGACAGGGTCTTTGTAGCCCTGGCTGTCCAGCAACTTGCTCTGTAGACCAGGTTGGCCTTGAACTCACAGAGATCCACCTGCCTCTGCCTCACAAGTGCTGGGATTAAAGGTGTGCGCCACCAACGCCTGGCTTAAATTTTACTTAATTTAGTTTTGGCTTAGTTGTTTTTTGTTGCGTTGCGACAGGGTCTTGCTTATGATTCCCAGGTTTGTCAGGAACACCTTTCTGCACCCCTACTTAATTATGTGCATGGCTGGCACGCTTGGCTAGACTTACCAAATTTTTACAACCTCAGCATAAAACTTTTTTTTTTCCCTTAGATTAAAAACATTCATTTTTTTTCATATAAAGACTATATCTTACTTTCTTCTCCTTGGTATATTATCACTGCCAGCATCACTACTACCACACATTTGAAGCACACTGCTTACTTCAAAGTTTACTCTGAACGTGTGAAACTCTGATATAAGTTCCAAAGGTTTAATGGACAGACAGAAGGATGATTCATGTCCAAGAAAGGACAGTGTGCAATGTCATCACTCTATACCTAACTATATGTAATTTAAATTCATCAATAGTTATTTCTGTACTTTTCCATTTTTTAATTAAACTGCAGATAAAGAGGGACTACTGTATTCAAGAGAAATAATTTCTAAGATCATAATATTTTTAAAAGGTTCTTAGCAGAATCTATGGGAGGTACCTAGAGTCATTAGCTCATTAAACTGAAAGCAGGACTCTTTGGTTATGTGGTTTTCTAGGATAATGAAATCTCTAGACTTTTAACTGACTTTGAAAAAAATTAATGGCCTCAAATGGAAAGTGATTTATACACCAAAAAAAATCACATACAGCAATCTTTTCCACTAATATGATGACATTTGAATGCTAATCATTCTTATACAAGCCAAGAAGTAAGACGTTAGGAAGAGAGACACCTGACACAGACAGGTGCTTACACAAAATTGCTCAATCTCTGCTTCTTAAAGAGATACTAAGAAAAAACTGAGACAGACTTCAGCATTACCGTGGGAGGAACTCCTCATGACCAGGACTGCCTAGGGATTCCACAGTATCTGCGGCTTCAAGATACAACTTAGAGAAAAGATTAAAAACATAACTATCCATAAAACTTAAATCACAAAAAATCCCCACTTTTCTCTTATAGTTGTTTAATAATCATGGGAAGAAATAACAAAATGGAAATTCAATGTAAAATATTAGAAAAATATATATCCTTAAGACAATTGTGAAACCTGGAAGAACTGTTACAATTCACGTCACTTATCCATCCTAAGGATAATTTTTTTTAATCTTCAGAGGAAATTTTACCTCAAAATCTGTTTTTCTTAACTATAGAAAAATTCCAAAGCCCCATTCAATTTTAAACAAGGAGTACAATTAGCTTGAGAAGGAAGTACCTACTCTGTACTTACTTTCCCACTGTATATATTTTATGTCATCTTTAACCACATACATAGCTATAGAAGAAAAGATACAGGAAGACACTTTCAACATTTTTAGTACAAAAAATAATTTCAAAAACAATTAAAGGAATCTAGCATTACTTATATTTTCATTTAAATAACTTGTTTTAAATTTGAACACAACCAAATGTTTACCTTTGTAAAATAACTGTTAAAAAAACAATTTATATTTCATATGATGTTAATGCTGTAACTACACTGACTTTCACCAATTAACCTGCTATCTATTTAAAATAATTTAGCAGAAAAATGGTATTGTGTGGGTGCAATGTTATATTCAAAATAACTTAAACAAAAAGGACCTGAAGAATGTCTGTAGATTTTTTTGCTAATCAGTTTCCTTCTGGAAACAGATGGGAGTGCTTTTAGTTCCTGTGACGTTTTATCTTACATGGATTAAAAACCATTCCTATATTCTCCATCTTCAGGCAGTATCAAGAATAAAACCTGAAGATCCGTGATGGCAAAATTTCTACAGAACAAGTTTAAGAGTACTGGGAACCTCAAAATGCTGAGTGGTACTAGAAAAAACATTATAGCATAGCAAACTCATTATTTTTATTTTACATGATAGGAAATACATCTGAGAGAACAACTGGGTTACATATATCCCAACAGACAAAATATATTCACCTGTTAAGTTTCAATTAAAGAATTAAGTTTTTGAATTAATTATAGAATTATGTCACTTGCCTTTTCTTTTCTAATATATTTATATAATATTATAACTAACAATTATACAATGTTATAATATTGTAAATAGAACACTCAATTTAAAATGTAAAGAAACAGGAAAGAATTTGAACTGACCCACTGACACAAAGGAGAAAACTTCCCTGTCACAGCTTTTAATACTTCTTGGCTGGCAACACCACCAACTGCTGCAGCAAGTGGGGATAAACAGCCTTGAGCAGTCCACGAGAGCCAGCGCACAATGTCAGGATTCATTTCAGGCTAAAACACAAACCAGAAACCACAGTGATACTAACAGTAGTCACAAAATACCTGTGACTTCAGTGACTAACGGCCAATATCATTAGAATTTAATTTCAAACAAACAAAAAACCCCCAAACTACTCAATTTCCTTCCTAAATAAAAATATCATGCTGGCTTAAGTTTTGGGTTTTTTTTTTTTTATTTTACTAGTCTCTATTCATTTTTGCTTTTCTGACTGTACTCTAGACTACCATTTCGGGTAAAATGAATACCTACAATTTATCAATTTATAGCTTTTGCTGAAAGAACGGTCCTACAATGCCAGTTACATAAGAAAATAACTGGCATATGAACAGCAAGATAAGCCAATAACTGACTTAAGGAAAGTGAAGTAGTACTAGAAGTAACACAGATCAGAGTTGTAACACAGAAGTAATGCAGACCAGAAATGAACAAAGTAAGAAACCAAAATAATGAAACTAAGAGTTGATTCTCTGAAAAGATAAAAGGTTGACATACTGCCAAAATAGCCAAAAGGAAGGGGTGGGTACCCAAATCACTAAAACGGAAAACGTGATGTTTATACAGATAAAACTGAAATGTGAGGTAACAGGGAATACTTATAAAAAACACACCAGTAATTTAGGGAATCTAGAAAAGAATAAACATACTCCTAGATATCTATGACCTATCAAAATGGAACCAAAGGGACACAAAAGCAACTAAGTGGATATACATTGAGAAGGCAAATTGAAGCAGAAGCAATCAATTTCCCAGCAAATCCAATCCAAGCCCAGGACTGGTTGTATTGATGAGTTCCACCAGGTTTTGAAGAAAACTATAACTCTGTCAAAATATAAAACTTTTAGAAGAGCAAAGAATAACTCTGTGACCATGGTTAATATGTTCATGGTTATGTATGTAGCTCAGTGGTAGGTGCCTCCCTAGCATGAATAAAGTCCTAGGATTGAAGTACCACTACAAAATTTTAAAGTTTTTAGAAAAAACTGGGCACAAACGATGAGAAAAAAAGATAAGTATAAGAGAATATTTCTAAAACATACATAAAAAAGACTCATGAAAACTATAAACATAGCCATAGAATTTCTGATCATTAAAAAAATAAAATTATAAATAGGCAAAGCTTTGAAAACCTACTGTATCCAAAGAAGTGTACAGTCACACAAAAATACGCTCAAATTCATTGTTGCTTTGGTGAAATGCAGATCAAATTTATGCACTACATTTTCAAACAGAAACTGTACAATCTGAGAGGAAACATAGAGCTCTCAAGAGGTTGGTACAAGTGAAAGTGATCCAGAGCTTATGAGAAAGCAAAATTGTCCAGCTGTTTTGAAAACATACATGATCGGGCATAAGGTACACACCTTTAATCTCAGCACTTAGGAGGTAAGGACAGGTGAATTTCTGAATTTGATGCTGGCCTACATACAGATTGAGTTTTAGACCAGAGAGGGCTACATAGTGAAAGCCTGTCTCAAAACAAGCAATTCCTTACAAATTAACCATTTTATTTTACTTCTATTACATGACTTTGCAATATATTTATAGATATCTTCACAATAGAAATGAAAATATTTGTCCACACAAAACTCTGTATGTATTTGTAGCTTTATTCACAGAACAATGCTAACCTGAATATAAAAGCAAAAGCAGCAATAGTTAAACGCCACATAATATTCTAAGTACTTTATGAAACCAAGTTATTTAATGTCCACACATGTGAGTTAACCAAATTTTATACATACACAAACTAAAGCAAAGAAAGCAAAGAACTTGGTTAATGCCAAAGGATCAGTAAGCATAGGGAGATCTGAATGTACGGGATGTTAATACATAGAACATTTATGCTATATACAAATACTCAGTCAACCCTAATTTTCTAAGTATTTACCTTCTCTTCCAAGGTTTCACATATAGCTATTGTTAGTTTCAGCAGTTCATCTGAGTCTTGCTGACATCTACAATTTGAAACCAAATATCTCAATTTCAATTTTTTTGAATGGCTGCCTAGATCATATTTAAAACTAAATCATAAGACACATATATAAATAAGAATGAGAAAATCTGGTACTATATAGTAAACTTTGTTTTTAAGCTAACTTCAAATTAACTGCTTTATAAAAATATTACTTCAAAATCATGGTCATCTAAGACAGCTCATAAGATTATATTTAATAAACATATAAGGTAAAAACTTTTTGTAATTTCTGACTTAGGCTAGAAAACATTATCACAATTAACAATTCAACAATTAGCAGGTTTTGGTTTTAAAAGCAATAGATTTTAAAGTCTTCAAATATTAAAAACTCCCATGCAGTATGATTCTACTCTAACAAACTAATCTTTCCCTTTCACCAATAAATCACCCTAAATGGCCTGTTTATGCAGTTTGGCATATTTACTAGGAATGTAATTACAAGAGGCTTAGTTTTATTTTTTTACCTATAATTTCTGAGATACAGTTTTCATAAAAAGAGAAGTTATATTAAACAAAAAGCATTACCTGATATTTGGCTTACGGTTGTAGTTTTCCTGAAACTGGTCCAAGGCAAGCATAGCAGCATGAATCTGAAGAGGTGCCTATTTGAACATGAAAAATTGGCCAACAATTGTTAAGTACTATGGAATAGACTAAATGTTTTTCAACTATTATTTAATTTCACCCTCCCAGTAAAAAGTACACTATGAGCCGGTCGTTGGTGGCGCATGCCTTTAATCCCAGCACTCAGGAGGCAGAGGCAGGCGGATCTCTGTGAGTTTGAGGCCAGCCTGGTCTCCAGAGCGAGTGCCAGGATAGGCTCCAAAGCTACACAGAGAAACCCTTAAAATGAAGGTTTGAATCATTTACCTAATCCCATTCACCACTCTACTGACTGCTTTAAACCTGCAAAGTAAATACTTACCTCAGGTTTGCTAAAATCTGCAATAAGGTACCTTGGATGTTTTATCTGCTTCTCCAGGGATTCCTAAAAGGAAAAAAAAAAAAAAAAAAAAAAAGCAAGCAAAACAGTATCACTTTACAGCAAATTGAGTGATTATTTCACAAAATACATAAGCACAATTAAAGCAAGTGATCTTTCTCCAAGGGTGAAAATTTGAGGTTGGACTGCTATAAATTGAACTGTTCACTACTACCTTATTACTGTACCCAAACCCAGTTGCTCTACATAGCAACTTCAAAAGAATTAGTGAAACTATCTTCATAATCCCAAACTGTGTCGTAGTGTAAAAGTTACGATGTATTCTGATATCATCAAATAACTGAGACAAGTTATGCCTGGTTAAGACTTGGGTAGATATCCCAAGTTAAAATCCATATGGGTGTCTATAGGCAAAACAAAGAAAAATTTGAAAAGTAACAATTCCTTAAATATGAAATTATTTGACTAACAAAATTATTTAATAAAAAATTAGGAATCTCAGAGCAAGACAAGTATTCAAAAGCAGATCTGCTTAGCTGTCCCATTTTGATTTGAGTGAAGTCTTGAAGAAAAAAACAAAAAAAACAAAAAATAAAACCTTGAGAAAATAAAACAGGCTCCTTAAAGCCTTTAACATCATCATCAATAAAATCCCAGCAACTAAAGACATGCTAAACACAACAGAAGCAGCCTTTGAATTTGCATGACACTCTGTAGTTCTAAGATACAAGTGCCTCTACACTCCAATTAGCAGTTAGTTTTTCTTCACTACAAATCGCCAATGGGAATTATGTTACATTTCAAACATAATAACACTTATAATAAATACTAAAACAGTAATAATATATATTAACAAACAACTGAGTAATAAAAAGTAACAATCTGGGCTGGAGAAATGGCTCAGTAGTTAAGAGCACTGACTGCTCTTCCAGAGGTCCTGAGTTCAATTCCCAGCAACCACATGCTGGCTCACAATCACCTTGAATGAGATCTGGTGCCTCCTGCTGCCATGCAGGCAGAAGACTGTATACATAATAAATAAATAAAATCTTTAAAAATATTTTATTTTTTTCTTAGGCAGTAAATAATAAGTAGGATAAACTTTCATTATATAGGAGGATACAGCGCCTTTGAGGTATAGTCACATGCATCAATCATATAAGTTACTCTTGTTATAAAATTGTATAAGCTTATATGTATTCACCTAATTTTTCAGTACAGAAGACTGTACATACTAAGGAAGTTTGTGAGCTACAGCCCTATGCCTGTATGCAATTTTTATATTATCAGTTTGTCTCTAAGCTGATTATATTTTCTTCAAGTTGGTTATAAATTGAAAAAATACTAAGAACAGTATATTTTTAAGCTAATTTGAATTAATGAGCATTTTATTATTTTGGGTTATTATCTTTTTTAATAGAAAAAACTTTTATGATAAAAAATACTTACAAAGCAAAATGTTTTAGGAGTCTTAATTTGTACAGCTATGCCTCCATGTAAATATGGATCCAGTCCTATAGTATCACCAATGCTGAAGGAAAATGGTGAGACCACTGAGGAAAAAGACAAAATAAGCATTACACACAGGCATTTAAATTTTAATATATATTATCAGATAGATATTATTCTCCATTTATAAAAGGTTCTAAAACAGATCTTTTCTTCTTTTTTTACTGGGCTGGGGATCTGCTAGGAGCCATACCAAGTACTTCTTCCAATATGAGCTCTGGTACTTAAAAATACTTGAGGAAAACCACTGAGTAAAGAAATGTGAAGTACTTATTATGAAATATAAAATATATTAAAACCTCTATATCATGCTAATACAAATTTTATTGGTACATGAACATATAAAAGAAATAAACTGAGGAACTAAGACATACATTCAAGTACACAGAGACAAAATAAAGTAGCAAATAAAGGTAGAACCTTAAATCAGTGGGGAAAAACAAGATTATTTAGTAATTTGTATGCAAGTAAACTGCAAAGAAATATCCCATCTGGCCGGGCGTTGGTGGCGCACGCCTTTAATCCCATCACTCGGGAGGCAGAGGCAGCTAGATCTCTGTGAGTTCGAGGCCAGCCTGGTCTCCAGAGCAAGTGCCAGGATAGGCTCCAAAGCTATACAGAGAAACCCTGTCTTGATAAACCAAAAAAAGAGAAATATCCCATCTGGATAAGAGTTTTAAATATTAAAACATGCTAACTTTAAAAACATATATAAAAGCACAGGAGAAAAACTACTTTAAAACCAGGAGGAAGCTCTTTTGAAACACCCAAAAAGCATTAACCCTGAAACGTTTGTGATAGAAAAACAAACTGCATGAAAACAGACCTACCATAGCAGAGTGGAGACTCTCACTAATAATGTGTTATTGTCAGTATTCAATTAACCTTTATTGCAAAGTAGTACTCCTACTTTGACAATTACCTTCTGACTTTGCTATGTGGCTTTGTTTTCATGCAGTTTGCTTTTTTTAAGAGTCCTGGGAACTGTGAAGATGATGGCCAGCAGTTCAGCAGGAAACTAGTAAAACACATATTGTTCACATTAAAGCGGAAGAAAACAGCTCCAAAGTTCAAGATATTGAAACTCATTTATAATATGAAAATGCAAAAGGCTACAAAGCATAGGTGCTTTCTGTGTAAGAAAGTGTAAGGAAACCCCTTACTGATACATAATAAACCCATGATGGTTGGCTAACTGCTCAGGAAGAATAACCAAGGATGTGCAAAAACATTTACACTGTTGATCCACTTTGTTATTGGACCATTTAATAATCAAAAAATTATCTGGCGGTGTGGAGAAGCTAGGAAACAAGGACTCTAAGAGACACACATGGTCCCCCAGAGAAGGGGAAAGGGACAAGATCTCCTGAGCAAATTGGGAGCATGGGGAGAGGGGGGAGAGGGAGCTAGGAGAATGAGAAGGGGAGAAGAGGAGGGGTGAGGAGGAATAAGGGAGCAGCAGGAAGGTTGTGTAGTGGGAAGAATTGAGAACAAAATAAGAGATACCATAAGAAGGGAGCCAGTATAGGTTTACAGAGAAATCAGGCAGTAGGGAAACGTCTAGAGATCTACAAGGATGAAACCAACTAACAATCCAAGCAACAGTAGAGAACTACCTTAAATGAGATTGACGACTAACTTATATGCCATCCTAGAGCCTTCATCCAGCAGCTGGTGAAGTAGAAGCAGACAACCACGGCTAAACCTCGAACTGAACTGCAATCCAGTTGCAGAAAAGGAGGAGTGATGAGGAAAGGGGTCCATACCAGGCTGGTGAAACCCACAGAAACAGCTGACCTGAACAAGAGGGAGCTGTTGGTCCCCAGACTGATAGCTGGGAAACCAGCATGGAACTGATCCAGACCCCATGAATGTGGGTGTCAGTGAGGAAGCCTAAGAAATCAATGGGGCTCCCCTTGTAGTGGATCAGTACTTATCCTTAGCATAGGAATGGACTTTGGAAGCCCATTTTACATAGAGGGATACTCCCTCAGCCTAGACACATGGAGGTGGGCCTAGGCCCTATCCCAAAGGATATGACAGATTCTGAAGACCCTCCCCCCATAGAAGGCCTCACCCTCCCCAGGGAGCAGAAATGGTACAGGATAGGTATGGTGTTAGTGGGGGGTAGGAGAGGGAGAGGGAACTGGGATTGACATGTGAAACAATCTTATTTCTAATTTAAATTAAAAAATGAAGAAAAAAGTAATAAAAAATTAAAAAAAATTAACCTGAACAATAAGCTTCTTTATACTTACAAATACATGAGCAAATAGTTAATAGTAATAACACTAAATAGAAAAAGTAAGCAGACACCAAGCTTATTTGCATTTTTTTGGAGAATGGAGGAAATATAAAGTGGGACTTAATTCTAACCCTACTTGAATGCATGTGTACAAATATCTACACATGTATTTATATAACATTGTATGAAATATGAATATACTGTTCTAGAATAACCATGTTTTACTTTGAAGTATTTAACAATTTTTTCACACAACAAAATTATCTTAAGGAAGCAAGTACCAAGTAATAAATGTTAAAATTGATCTTTTTAAATAACATCTCAACTTAAGCAACTTTCACCCCAACATAAATTTTTGGTTAAAAAAAAATGTGGGTTTTAAAAGCCGGGCGTTGGTGGCGCACGCCTTTAATCCCAGCACTCGGGAGGCAGAGGCAGGTGGATCTCTGTGAGTTCAAGACCAGCCTGGTCTACAAGAGCTAGTTCCAGGACAGCCTCCAAAGCCAGAGAAACCCTGTCTTGAAACCACCCCCCCCAAAAAAAAAGCGGGTTTTAAAATAAAAAAAAAAAAACGTTTCTGAGTGGTGGGGTGGTAGTGCACGCCTTTAATCCCAGCACTCAGAGGCAAAAGCCAGCAGATCTCTGTGAGTTTGAAGCCAGCCTGGTCTATAGAGTGAGCTCCAGGACAGCCAGGGCGATATAGAGAAACCCTATCTTGAACAAACAAACAAACAAACAAACAAACAAACAGCCCAACAATCAAAAATAAATAAGTAAAACTTCATTCTTTGATACCAGGCAACATTTTCCTAGATAGGTAGCTCTAAGAATCTGATCTTATCACCACAATCTAACCCTATATGGTCACCAATGTAAACAAATATAATCCCAAATTATCAAGTTAGTCAACTCCCAAAACAAATACAAATTCTTTATTATGTTCTGAACCTGTGTTTAACATAGATGTACTCAAACATCACATTGATAAGCTTCATTACAAAATACACTATAAGCGGGGTAAGCAGACAGCCCACAGAGGAGAAGAAACTAATCTGATAGCTGTATTTCACAATTGTCTAATACTGAGAATAAATAATTTCAACCATATAAAACAAAACTATAAAACTGCTACTCAATAAATGGGTCAATGAGCTGAACATTTTTCTAAAAACAAACAAACAAAAATATTGGCAATAAGGGAATTGTGAATTAAAATAGATTTCCAATAAACAAAACAAAATGAGGCAAAATAAATGATGATAAATGCTGGTAAGGATGAGGAGAAAGAGGCCTCTTACTCCCTGCAGGTCATTATGTCAACTGTTGCAACCATACACGACTGTATTTGTCAAAAGTCCTAAAGATAAAACTGAGTCATTTTCCTTCAAATACATAAACACACCACAAAAACCACATGTGTGTTGACTAGCACAGCCTTTATGTCCTAAACACAACTATAGGTAAAAAACAGAAATTATGTAGACTAATAGTGATATGAATTAATTACCTCAAATGGGCCCGGCAAAATATCTGGCCATCTTTCCCCTTTAAAAATGAGTATTCTCTTAACCTCTAAGCCATCTCTCCAGCCTGAGCAAACTTCTTCTTTTTTTTTTTTTTTTAAAGATTTTTATTTATTATGTATACAGTCTTCTGCCTGCATGCCAGCAAAGTGCACCAGATCTCATTCAAGTTGGTTATGAGCCACCATGTGGTTGCCGGGAATTGAACTCAGGACCTCTGGAAGAATAGTCAGTGCTCTTAACGCGTGAGCCACAAAGATAACACCAACTAACAATCTAAGCAACAGAGGAGAGGCTACCTTAAATGCCCTCCCCTGATAATGAGATTGATGACTACCTTATATGCTATCCTACAGCCTTCATCCAGCAGCTG